GACATGAAAATTTATTAACTTACAACTCAAATTTTCACATGACATATCTGGTTGCCAATCGAACCTCCGAGATAAATCTACTTTTCGTCTTTTCGCGAACAACCGTAACAACTCTTTTAGATGCTCATAATCCGGCTGGCTTGGATAGTTCAGCGAATCAATGTAACCAATCACCATGTCAATCTCATCGGGTAATTCCGTCACAAATTGAGGACCTTGAAATATCTGTTTATTTATCACATTACATGCATCCGTTTGAATATCCGAACACTCAAGTGAAACATGTGGATGATGAACGAATGAAAACTGTTCCGGCAATGATAGAATACTCTGGAACGCGCCTAATGAAGGTTTTGAGAGATGGTCCGATTAGGATTTTTTAAAGCCACAACATTGATTGAAGTTTGTGGTTTCAAAAAGAAAGGCTTTTGAAAGTATCACAGTTACCAGCATACTGTCTTCCTTCACTCAAATGAATTCATTGAACACTGCCATAATGATGCTACATTCGCAAAAAATATTGATAAATCATCAAGCAAAGCGAATTATACGTTTGCCCCTGAAGAATTTTTCTTTCAACTTCAGAACCAGTTCTTTATCAGTCTTCCTCGCCCACGGAAGCGCACAAGGATCATGGAATTCAATGAGCATATACATCCACGATTTGAGATCATCACGTCTCGATTGTTCTCTTGAATGAAGACAGTTGCGTGATGCGTAACGCACCGTTTTACAGAAGGGCACATGTGCGCGAGGCATTCTACAATGCAAATGCGATTGATTTTTTGAGATAAATTGATTTTTGAGATAAATCAGCTGATGAGTAACTCATATGGTACCTTCCATGAATATCTTTCGATTCAGTAAGCATATATGATCCATAGCTCACCTATCCATAAAACCATATTTCATCTGTTTACAAATACTTCAATTTCATTCCATCAGCTTAACGCAGATACAATCAATCAACCCGGCTAGAGAATATCTCAAAAAATGTTCACTGAGCGAAATTGCTTTTGCAAAGTCAGATCACTAATGAGACATGTTGTCATACCTCAACAAATTGCATCCATCAATCCTATACTTTCGAACTATACTGAAATCAGGTAAAAATATCGTATTGGCCTTTTCTCGAACTCCAACCGAAAAGTTCTGTGGTTTTACATCTCGATGAATATAACCTAGATCGTGCAGATCGGCAACTGCTTCGATTATTTGTAGTCCAAGATTTATGAACGTCGAACAACTTAAAGTATTACTGACGAGTGATGTAAGATATTTCCTCAGTGCTTATTTTCAACTGGAATGAAATGANACCTTTCTGTTCAAATGATTAGTAATCAATTTTTTTTGTGAAGTGACGTTTGAAGAGTGACATCTGAACCTGAAGCGATATTCAGGCATTTCCAGCTGTATAAAGTCAAGACTCAATCCTACTAGATTCATGATGATAAATTTGAAATCATTGGTACGCCCTGAAGTTGCATTCTATTTCTAAGAAATAGCCACAACAGACGGTTTCAATACCGCCAGGAACAACGAAAAAAGATATGAGTAGGAATAACTCAAATTTTGCGATAAAATCGCATTCTTGACATCAATTTGCTGCAAAGCACTAAGCCTTATCCTAGCATCCACATTGCAGTAAATGTTTCTAGGTGGGATTCAACGAAGAAATACATCGAAAATAGGCAAATATGGCTGCAAAGAAAACCTTTATCGATCATCCTAACGAAATGTTGTCGGCGATTTGGAGTAGCATTAGAGCTTAATTCGAGAATAATTGTTTCAACCTGAACTTTCTCTGTTATCAATGGTCACTTATAAGGAGAAGTAACTGTATGCCTCCTTTCCAACCAAATTCATGAATGTTAAATGGATTAAATAAAAATTTCCTGCCTCAGTCACCTCAGCAAACGTATAACATTTTATCTCATTCGGAATGAAAGCTCACCCTCCTTCAAAACATATTAATAATGCTTTTTCGCAATCTTACAGGAACCATCAACAGCTACGGAAATCAAAGAGGTTACGACATCTTATACTTTTAGATAACACTCCTTAACGAAATGTTCGCAAGCAAAACGAAAACTTTCAATGGACCATTTGCCACCAACTTTAAGCCTTTCAAGCATGTTCAAAAATGATCCATACAAATGGCGAAACTACAAGTTGAAGCAAAATTGCGCATATCAGACCAACTGAAATTGTTCGAGAGGAGCTGAAATTGTTCAAAAAGTAGTTTCGGTCCCAAATTATGAAATTCTGAATTCTCGAATGAAGTCGTTCGAGTTGAATGCGTATTTCAATTGGTGATTACAAATAACAAGAACAATTCACATTCTCCAGTGAAAAGTTTCTGTTTTTCATCGTAGACCAACTTCCGATTGACTACTTTGACCCAAGGCAATGCTTTGTGATCGAAGAATTCAAACACCATATATAACCACGATTCTAAATCATCTCTTCGACATTGTTCTTTCTGACGGTGACACGTACGGGATGCGTAACGAATGGTACCCATGAAAGGCACCTTCGAACGAGGTAACCTGAAAATTTTCAGTTACAATTATTTCCTTCTGAAGATTTCAGTATGTTGCTTTTAAGTGAAAATATAGAGTTCATATTCACGCCAACCAGTAGAACTTGATGTTCAGTTGGTCATCTGAGCGACTGCGGAGATTTTAATCGAACCAAAACTGACAGCTTTTGCATCATCGACAGTGAATTTCCTGGCGATACCGAATTCGAGTAAATACACTGTGGCATTATCGAATGCACCAACGGAAAAATTTTGCGGTTTTATGTCTCTATGTAAATATCCAATATCATGAAGATCGGCAATACCGTCAATTGATTCCAATGCCACTTTTATACAAGTACCAAAACTGCAATGTTTCAAATTTATTGCCACGCTATATTGTTGCATAATTAGCTTTTAAGACGACAAAAATGTCAGCAATGTGATCAAAAAGTGAATATATGTTTGATCTTTTGCTTTTTCGGCCCTTTATTTTGGACTTTTGGACACATTTTCTTACTAGCGGTTTTTGTGATAGAACGGGAATACTTACATACAATGATAAGAATATTCGCAACAAAGTTCTGTGACATTGGTTAGTAGCAGTGACCTTGGTCAATCCATGATTAAAAGTAGTGTGGTGCGGCAATGGAAAAAAAGCCGGGAACGGGCATCACAACGAAAATATAAATGCTCAAAATAATCGTGAATAAGATTACATGTATGATAAGACATGGACACGATAACAAAGAAACATTCGTGAGATAGACATGAATAAAACTATTCGCGACACCTTCGTTTCTCAGGAAATTCCATCATTATTTATCACCTGAAACAGCGGCCCGGCATCTCGCGTCGTATTATGTCAATACTTGTACCAACAAGTTCCATGATTATGAATTTGAATGGTACTGTTCACCCTGAGATAGACTCTTGATCAGCATGTACGATCCTCGTTGCTTATTCTTAGTTCATGGGAATATTTCCTTCTGTTTTATTATTTGAGCATGAATTTGAGTTCAAATTCTGAGTGCAGTCAACGCTGTGATACTACAAGCTTACAATTTTCATAACACAAGCTCATTTTCAAGGCGAAATAAAGAGTTTTATAACATCAAAAAATGTCATCAATTCAAACTCTAAGGTCCTCAAATGAATCCCTTCCTCCAATACTCCCCAAGCAAATGTCCCTCAGTGCATGCCATTCTTCAAATGAATCTAGCGGTACAGGAAAAGATTCTTTCAATCAACACTCAGCTTAATTCATGCGTGCATCTGTGATTTTTGTCGCAAGCAACGCTCAAAGCGGCTCTCTGGATTGATTCAAACCAGCCTAGCCTCTCTTTTGTTTTTTTTGCAGATCCCCTCTAGCTGTGGAAAATTTGGGAATTCTACCTTTTCTTCCTTAATAGATACCTTATTTTGAACTCCGGGAAAACTCCCTTCAATAACATGGCAAAATTACGTTCTCATCCCCTGTCAGTTGAGAAACTGAGGTAACGTCAAAAAATGTTCGATTTATCCTTCCCAATAGTTTTCTTCAAAAAATTGTTTCAATCCTCGATTCGAACTTTCAGTTTTTTGCAAGAGCTTGAACACTTACCCTTATCAACCGTCGTCACGAAATGCTTTCGTTTTTGCTCAGGTTGCTTGCCGCACGCCTGTAGTACAGTCATTTCGATCTGAATGAGCGTTGCGTTTAGTTGTTTTTTTTCACAGCTGAGCCAGATTAAGTATTTCTGATTCACATTGATCACATGGATCAAATCAGTTTCTCATGATTCGGTTGTTTTCCAACAATAAACTTTCGTTTGCCTTCAGAGACAGAGATAGGCTTCCATTGATTATAGCGAGCATTCTGCGGTGGTCCACCGAATCAATTTTCCATTAAGCATGCGAAAGCAAAGAACTTTGCTCGCTGATAACAAATTAAAGTTTTTCGGCAAAAGTATCTACAAAGTCCTTTTCTGATATCGCAAAATTTTGCCTCTTGACGCACTCATTCAAAATCATGAACGTTTTGATGGAATTTGAAATAATTATGAGCTAGAATTTTTGGGTGCGATCTAATTTCTTGTAACGTCACATTACATTCAGTCGATTGAGAGATTTGAAATTATCGTCGACAGTTTCAGTTTTCATAGCGAATATATTTGTTTCTCCAGATTTTTTTGTTGCGTTTTACTCGACATACATCACCAAAACCACCAATACCAATCAAACTCCATACTGTGTACCTGCATAGCATTCACAAAAGCGTGGCTGATTCACGTTCATCGATGTTCTTGCACCTAAATACTTTTCAAATTCTCAGGATTCATTACAACCTCGCGAGCTTATAACAGGCTTCCTAAATTCTATTTCCCTCGCTCGTAATTCTAATGTATCATGTTCCACAATTCGAATGTATCTGTCCATACCACCATTAGATTTTAGCATTGAAAATCTTAACATATTATATCGCCACGCTATAATATTGTATATGTGGAACATTTTTCAAAAGGCCAGTTTTGTGTAGATTTCTTCTCACATGTTTGCCGTGCAG